TGTGTGTGTGTGTGTGTGTGTGCGTGTGTGTGTGTGCGTGTTGCAGCCTCAGGCCCCGATCCTGTCTCTACGGATTGAGGAACTGACAAGAGCAGGGTTAGAAAAGTTACTTTTGCTGCAATACAACCCTCCAGCCCCCTTCTCTTCCCCCCCTCCCTCCAAGCCATGGGGTGCGTATGTGTTAAGATTTAGGAGTTGTACTTTCCCCCCCACACACACACACCCATACCCCAAAAGTAACTTTTCCCCAAAGGGTGACCCCATCGACCCCCCACCCGAGCTCTCCTTTCTTTCAAGGGCGGCGGGGAAGAGAACGGCTGCCCCCCCAACCCAGGTTCCTCCGGAGGGGCGGGGCTAAAGAGAGAGAGGGGGGGGTGTCCTTCAGGACCACGTGACCCGGACCTCCGGGGAGGGGGGAGCTTTAGGAGAAACGGAGGCCCCCCCTTCTACTCACGGAGGAGTCGGCCCAGGCCTCGGGCGCTGCTCCCGCAACCAGCCATCTCGGCGGCGGCGCCGTCTCTTCTCTCTCTCTCTCCTTAGGCCCGCCCCTTCCGGTTGCCTTCTTTGCCCCTTTGCCCGCGAGGACGGCCGGCGGGCCCTAAGGGCGCATGCGCCCAAGGGGGCATCCGGTCGGGTTGACCTCCGCGCCTGGCCCGCCACGGAGCGAGAGACGAAGGAGAAACATCGTAAGAAGGGCGACGGCGGTCGCAGAAGCGGCCTCGAGGAGACGGTTCGGGTCATTTCTGCTTTGTGGGAAGTGACCCTGTATATAATTTTTTTAAAAAAAGGATTCCGGTGAAGAGAGATTGAAGCAGGCACTTGCGTGGCCAGCCTCCAAAGGTCGTCCAAGGAGAGAAAAGGCCCTTCCCGCGCTTTCTGCCGCAAGGGATTGCGGGAATTGTGGTTCTGGCGGCGGAAAGCGGCTGCTTGGGAACTCCCAGGGGTTTAGCCTCTCGGTTTCCTTTTCCAAGTTTCACGTCGAGCCAGCCTGAGCAATAAGCTATGCCTTCTGAGGGATTCTGGGAGTTGTAGTACAAAAGAGTAACTTTTTTTGCAAGCTTTGGGAACCTGCTCCATAAGGCTGAATAGAGGTGGGCGGGCAACCCGTTTTTTTTGCTAATAGAGCCGCAGCCAAACCCTGTGTCCAGTTACTCGGAAGTAAGTTACAAGGCATTCAGTGTGGTCTTTATTACAGTTATCGGATAACAACAATATCCAAGAGGGATATAAAAGGAGCCACCCTGAAGAATGAAAAAATACAGTAGGACCCCATTATCCGCGGGATCGCTATCCGCTGGTTCTCTTATCCGCTGGTTCTCTTATCCACTCGCTGAAAATGCTAAATAAAACCCTCCAGAAATACATATGTATTTATACATATTTTCTGGATGTATATACCAGAACTGGTTACTAGAAGAAGCCAGAGACCATTCTACCTATAGTGTTCTTTACTTCTGCTTTTTTGGACATCCGCGGTTGAAACTGATCCATTATGGATATCACATTCCTACTGTATTGCAAGTACATTCAGTCATCCCCAGGCCAGCCCTTCCCTTCCAAAAGCTTGCAATGCCAACTTGCTGGTGGGCAAAAATGACCCAATGATCCTTTTCAAGACCACAAATTGCAATAAAATTGTTTTTTTAATTTTTAACCTATATTTCATCTATGGCCATAATTTTTGAATTGTGGTTGCTCAAAGCACTATGGGGCAGTATATAAGCAGCATGCTTTGCTTTTTTGCTTTAAAACAAATAATATCCTCCCCCTCCAAAAAAAAAATGTTGCCAGATTAAAACCCATTCCCGCAGGTATAAGGCTATAAATACATATGGCCTGTGCATTCATAGCCGGGTGAGGACACACGTAGCAGAAAATGTGGTGATGGTTTGTTAACACAGGAATGGAACCTTCAAGTTCTTAAGTTTGCAGATCCTGGCAAGCAAGGGGACACCAAACTCTGGAGACCTAAGTCCAGAAATAACACTGCATGACTGCAGTTCTAAACACACTAAAATGGGAGTGAATCCCATTCAGGTCAATGGCCAGTCTCCTCTTCTTGCACAAGCTGCTATTTCACCCTCATGGAATTTTAGTACCGTCATAAAACCACTAAGACCAGGGCTCAGTGTATCACATGCCACACGAGCACGTCATGTGGCAGGGAGTTCCATGAACATCATTCTGTGAAGAAGCCCCTAGCTTTCCCTGTCCTGAGTCTGTTTCAATGAGGGAACCTGAACCTCACTATTAGAGGAACAGGGTGACAAAAACATTGTTTGAAGCTTTTATATCTCATCTTGGAAAAGTTGCTCTTCTTTGGATAACAGTTCTGTGAGCAGGTGATCTTGGCTACTCATGAGGGATCCACCCCCACGTCCTGCTGGCCCTCCAGGGGTGCCTGCCCGGGATGGCTCTCCCACCAAGGAGAGTATATCGGAGAGACTGGGGAAGAGCGCAAATTCATTCATTCATTCATTCATTCATTCATTCATTCATTCATTCAAGCTATGAGCTGCCCAGGATGTGTTGAAGGAAAGGGGCCAGATCAATGGAGATTGTTTGACCATGGACTAGCTGCAGCTTTTGTACCAGGACCTTTGATTTGGACAGCTGCGCCGGGTGGCAAAGGACATCAGGGAAGAAAGGCTTAAGATATGTGAATCTTGGTGGACTCCAACTAATTCCCCTCATGTTGCCTTTGTGTGGAGCGCTTCATAGTGTAGACTGTAGATCATTCACCATAAATATCATGGTTGTTAGTTGAACATCGGCTCTGAGCCTTGCCTTAAAGAATGGGAGACATCAGGGCTGACCTGTCTAATACCCATCTCTTCCCATGTCTTATGTGCTGTCGAGCTGGACCCAGCTTATAGCAGCCCTAATAAGTGAGATGTTTAAGGAGTGGTTTTAACACTTCCACTTCCCCAGTGAGTTTCCATGGCCAAATGCGGATTTGCACCCAGGTGTCCTGAGTCTCAGACATGGTGGCGCTGTGGGTTAAAAACCACAGAAGCCTCTGTGCTGCAAGGTCAGAAGACCAGCTGTCGTAAGATCGAATCCACGCGATGGAGTGAGCCCCCATCACTTGTCCCAGCTCTTGCCAACCTAGCCATTCGAAAGCATGTAAATTTGAGTAGATAAACAGCTACCACCTCGGTGGGAAGATAACAGCGTTCCGTGTCTAGTTGCACTGGCCACGTGACCATGGAAACTGTCTTCGGACAACCGCTAGCTCTACGGCTCGGAGACGGGGATGAGCACTGCACCCTAGAGGCGGACATGACTGGACTAAATGTCAAGGGGAACCTTTACCTCCTGAGTCTCAGCCCATCACTCTATCCACTCCACCATGCTGGGTATCCCCCCCAGAGGGAGGATACCCCTTCACAATCTGCCAGAACCCTCCAATAATAAGGCCACTAGCCATGCTGCTGGGGCCATTCCAGGGACTTTTCCAAATGCTAACATTGCGATATTTGCTCTTTCTCTTTGAGTGTAACCACCTCCGTATATCAAAGGCACTGACATCCGTCTGCTTGACAAGCAACATCTTTCGTCCTTCTCAGGTACGGCCCTCCCCAGGAAGACAGCCTGTGTTGCCTTTGACCTGAAAGCGCTTGGGCTGTAAAACAGCAAGGAAGCCGACCCCTATCCAGAAGTGCAGCTAGACTTGAGTAAACACCTCCCTCTAAGGCAATAAACTCTAGAGACCGGAAAGTAAACCAAGCACATTGAAACACAGGCTAGACTTTGCTCCCTCTGCCAACAAAGTAAAAGGGAACAGAAGCATATAAAACTTTCAGAAGCCAAGAAAAACCCAAAGACTTACAGATAACAGTCTTTGAACCTTTAACTGCTTGTTTGCCAGTGTGTGAAAGCATAGG